CCTAGAAAACAAATTAGTCAATTCATTGTCAGCAAACGTTAATATTTCTCATCATGTCAAGTTGACTTGGATACGTTGAAATAATCACGTCAAGTTATAAGTTATATAAGGATAGCATAAGATAGAAATGTCAAATACATTGTAGGATGTCTTGCTTAGCGTCTTTAATCATGACATAAGATTGAATTTTCAGCTAGGGATCAGAGCAGCTTGGTTGAGCTTTAAGAATCATTGGGTCTGCACTTGTCCACATGTAAATGGAACATTTGTGTTCTATTAATTTGGACCAGAAAACTGAACTATAAATTGTAACAGACTGTACAAATAGCTATGAAGTGGCTGAATGACACAGCGCATCCAAACACGGTAATTTCGATCCTTTGAAGTAATTTCAGATCTAATCTAATGTTAACGTAGAATTTTAGTTAACTGTAGCTTAATAGATGGTGTAAAATGTGCAGAACAAACGGAATTACTGGTTTTAAATTCTTGACTTACGGTTTTACTTAAGCTACGGTTTTGCTCATTAATTCCCTTCGTAGAAAATTCTGCACAGAACTTTTGAAAGGTCATAATTTAGCTCCTTCAGTTGCATTCAAGAAATGAATAGATAACAATACCATTAAACTCGAAGGAGCTTTAAATGATTTACTATTTATTAGGGAGACGCTCCAACCGTTTCCAGCGAGGTCAGACTCTGCTATTCACTTCCAACAGTTAGTGTAAGTAAATGGCAGGCTGACCACGCTGTTAGACAGAAATAAAAGTATTCATTCGTAAGTCCGTCTGCTGTCTGGATGTCTATATTGCAGTGTCTGACAGTTGGAAAATTTGAATTCGTTTCTACCATAACGACTTGCAACTGAAAAAGAAAGAGTCATAAATCACAATTCATCTCAAGCAAAGTGTAGATTTATGTCAATCAAACAATTTGAGCTTTCTCTTAGCGCCTCTTAACATTCTTTAAACGTTCCTATTTGCAAGTAAAATCAGTCCTAAATTTCAGGCAGTTATGCGATTTTAGGAATTTTCCATATTATATTCAGCGAAGCTATGTGAATTTATTAATTTAATACACTGAGGAGTGTTTCATATAGTATATGAATTTCCAGATTTTGTGGTGAGAATTATTAGTAGAAGTATTCAAAAAAAGAATTTAGAGTCATGGGAACAAGAGCAAAGTCTAATCATATTCAAAAGAAAACAGTCTTGTGTTCATTGACCAAATTACACTGTTTACGCTGTAACATTAATAATTCTTCAGTAGTGTAATTGTAGAAGCCAATTTACTTTAGCCGCGACTTGAAGTGGGTTTCAACCACGCTGAGTCAAGCGCATTCAAGCCTTATAAAGGCCAGACACAACAAAAAACTACACTAACTCATAGGGCAGTCCAAGAGGAATCACTACATGTAAGTGAACTATTTGAAATGCTAATTCAACATGACATCCAATGTGAAATTTATACAAAAGCAACTACTGCTATTTCAATAAATCAAAAATATATGCCCATCGCGTCAAATATACTTTAAAAATTTGTACGTAATCTGTGATCTTTTTGTTAACAAATGTAGTGAAGAGTCCATCAAAATTTATTTTACCTTAAAATATCTTCCGAAAAAATTACAGGATTATCGAATAATTCCTCACTCAGTGGGAGCTCTTTGTCCTTCGAATGGAAGTCTGTGGCATTCTTTAGATTTGCTAGAAGTGACCAATTCAATTTTTGATCACTCTTCAATAATTAAGCAAGTTTTGAGCAATGCGATGTGCGATCCTCCAATTAATCACGTTCTACACATAGAATACAATAGAGTTATGCCAGCATTCATACTTCCCGGTCGTTGAAAAGAAATGGTATCTAACAAGTAGGAGAATTATGAAAATTTTTGCTTCAAATCAATGAAGTATAGTTTCGAACAAGGAACATGTGGAGACCTTGACGGGAAAGACAAAGTAATTTGTGTATGCGAATCTTTCAGCTGATGAAAGTAATCTGGTGTGCAGTGTTCGCATGATTTTATTCTCAATTTTTCGTCTAATTTTGCTTCTTCAACATTTCTAGAAATTCATTTACGCAAGCACGACATAATCAATAGAATTACTTTGCTTAAGAAGTGAAGTACTCATGTCTATGGTAGAATCTTTAAGACGAAGTTTTATTTCGTCTTTTCTATACTTTTCTCGCCCCTTTATAATACTACAAAACATTGAATGAGACTGTTGCAGCAAACAATTCTTTTCATTACCTTCAATTAACTTGAATTCGTTAAATTAATCATGCCAAGTTGAAGGTCATATAAAAACAGTTAAGATGAGAATGTCTGAAACACAATGTGGTATTTAAGGTTTCTAACTAGGACACAAAATCAAGAGCATTTGGAAATTAGCTGTCGGATTTTCAGGAACGGATAATTTAATTGAGCAATGCAAATTATTGGATCTGCAGGTAATTACAACGTTTGTGATCCACTGATTTGACATCAATGAACCAAGTGAATTTAAATTTGAATTTGTTACACACGACGAGTAATTATGAACTGAACTAAGTCAATGCATATTGCATTCAGATACGGTAATTTTGAGCTTTTGAAACAATTTCATTTTTAATATGATGTGATAAGACAAGAGTATTCAAACCTTAAAGATGTGAGACACATCAACTTCTCCACGTAATTACATGTTAACTGAATGAAAATTACCATTTCAAAAGTGGTTCATTTATCGAAAAATTGAGGATTCAAAGTGGAGAGTTACAAGCGGATGTAAATTGTGCAGAGCAAGCAGAATTACTTGTTTTTAATTTTAAGTTCGGAGAGTTGGCATGTGATGAAAGCTAACAAGTCTATAAAAGCTGTGTAATTCAGAAATGAAACAGCTAAAATCACTTTCGATGATATATTTCTGTTCTATAAATATCGAACATATTCAGTAAATATTGGTCACAAAGCTTTCATATCCGTGGAGTGACCATATAATTACATTGTATATTGCAAAATAATTCGTAATAGTGTCAATTTAAAGTTTTTCATTTACAGTTCTATAAATAATAGCAGTTTAAGTAATAATTGAAATGCAGTAAAGGTGAGTTTTTGTACGAAAGGGTAATTGGATAATTGATAAGGATTTTATTTGAATTGAATGCAAATGCGAGAAATAATTGGTTAAATGGCCGCAGTAATAATCTGCCAGAAATATTCACAAACCT